GTCTATCTGAAGTGTACCTGGCGTATAAGACGACCCCCCACTTGGAGGCATATTTTTCAGGGCCAAAAAATCGTCTTATACGCCGGCAAATACGGTATGTCAACTCAAAAGCAAACTTATTTGTCACTAGCATAAAATAAGACATAAAATTTTAGACAGCCTCATACATCCATAAATCAAGATACACAAACTATATTTTGAGATTAGACTCATATATTCTATTTTTTCCCAAGACTGTTTGCAAGAAATTATTTTAATTTGCCAGAGATTTTCAACAGCTAAGTAAATGGAGTTCATATGCAAAGGACAGAATTTATCCCACTCAAGTTATACAGTATTATACTGATTCAGATATATATCCTGTACCATCTAAAAATATATACTATATTATCCCCTATTAAATAAATCCTAGCTCAAATGTGGATTAAAAGTATAATTTCTCAGAATGAAATTGCAATTTACTCTTATATACACAACTAGTCTGGCAAGCTAGCTATCTGAACATTTTAAATTCCCTTAAATATCATTCTTACCTGGAAATTAGACTGAAATACGCAGCAGTCAACACTTTTATAATGTCCCTTAAGCATAGTTATCTGTTCTCCAGAGTAAATTGTAAAAACAGCAATGGTGCTACCATATGGTACAAAAACAAATTCTGAACTGCAGCCACAGGAGACAGTGAATTTCAATCCTTTTCTACTGTCATTAAAAACTTTTCCATAATTCACCTGTAGGATAAAATCATAAAGTTACTGACTTCTTAAATCTGACTTAAAAAGACAATAAAGATTAGAAAAAATATTTACTTAAAATACTAGAATATACTATAAACTTATAAATCCAAAAAAAAAATTACCACTGTCCTAATATAAATAAGGGATAATGACATAAATGTAAATTTCATATAAGAGGGAAACATAAATAGTAAAAAAACCTACAAAAGCAAATGTTCACATTTCAACTTGATAGAAATAAAAATGCAAATTAAGGCTATCTTGAAGAATCATTTTCAACCATTTAGCAAAGACGTTAAGAAACCATAAGACATTCAATACTGGTACAAGTGAGGTACACATGTTGGTGGCACTGTAATTTGGTTATTCCTTCTAAAACGCCAAATGATTTATTATGCAACTAAATACAAAGACATTCTTTGGGGACGGGGTGGGGGGGGCGAATCACCTTTTTATTTTAAAACATTTTTAATTGTGGTAAAATACACATAACAAACTTTGCCAGCTCAATCATATGTAAGTGTACATTTCAGTGGCATGTAGTACATTCACATCTCCAGAACTCTTTTCATCTTGTAAAACTGAAACTCTGTGGCCATTAAACAATGAAGATATTCTTAGTCCTAAACAATGAAGATATTCTTAGTCCTTGACCTAGTAACTAGTCCTGGGAATTTATCTTAGGGAAATAATTAAATAGCAAAAAGCTATATGCCCAAAGGAATTCAATGCAGCATTAACTAGAATGGCGAAATAACTGAGAATAGATGTAAAGTCCTAAAAATGTTATATTAACTACTATATAGTTTATGTAGCAATTAAAGCTCATGACTATGAAAATTATGCACGACATAGGGATGAAAGCTCAGTATAAAAAAGCACAGAACACAAATAGTGTGTATACTATAACTGCAGCTTTATATAAATAATTATGCATGGGGACAAAAATAAAAATTCTCCACCTGTATACCAAAGCGGCATGCCCAACAATATCAACATCACCTGGCAGTTCGAAATGCAGGTTTCCAGGCCCTCTCCCAATCCTATGCAACTAGAATCTTCATTTTAACAAGATGCCTAAGTCATCTGTAGGGTCAACAAAGTCTGAGAAACTTTGGACTAAAGAAATTGACCATGAAGTTTACTTCCTGGTGATCATGTAGATAAGCAGCTGAAGGTAGCTTATTAACCTGTAGCTAATCATTTGGGAATTAGGAGCATGCAGATCACCAAAATCTCCCTTCACTGTGGCTGATACTAGAGTTTGAACAGACAGTGAGTGATCTGCCTTTTTCTAAAGGTTGGGTGGGAGTGTGTGTGTGTGTGTGTGTGTGTGTGTGTGTGTGTGTGTGTGTGTNCAATAAAAATAAAAAAAAAAATCTTAAAAAAAAAAGAAGCAATTCATGAGAAGTACTGCTACACTGATGGAGATATAAAGGAAGTTCTGTAGATGTTCCAAAAAGAGAGCTTGAAAAACACAGAACTTCAATCAGACTGATTAATATACTTCACTTAAATGGAGGTATGTGAATTGAGTCTTGAAGTTTTGGGGGAAGTGTAGGGATTCATTTGGGAAATTAGGTTTTAAAAAAAATAATCTCAAAATTTACAGAAAATTTGCAAGGGCGGTACAAAGCATTTTGTTTCTTGAAATATGAAAGTTGCCAATATGAGGTTCTATCACTCTTGAATAGTTGAGTGTGTATTTCCTGTGAACAAGGACATTATATTCTACATAATTACAATGCTACCAACAAAATCAGAAAATTCACATTGATATATTATTACCTGCTAATTCTCAGACCCCATTTAAGTTTCACTAGTTGTCCCAGTAATTATCGTGCTTTATAGCAAAAGGGTCAAGTTCAAAATTACATGCTGTACTTAGTTGTGACATCTCTTTACTTTCCCTCAATCTGGAACAGTTCTTCAGTCTCTCCTTGGCTTTCCTGACCGTGGCAATTTTGAAGATACACATCAGTTATTTTGCAGAATGTCCCTCAAATTTTGTTTGTCTTATGCTTCTTCATGATGCATCTTTGCCAGGAATATCACAGAGGTGATGTCCCATAACTACAATACTAACTTTGATCATTTGATTAAAATAATGTATGCCAGACTCTTTTGAGGCAAAATTAGATTTTACCTTTTTAATTAATATTCTGTAGGGTGGTACTTCGAGATATATAAATATCCTATTCCTTATCAGACTTTAAATTTATTAGTTTTTACTTACTTATACCAGAATGGATTTGAGGATCCCTATTTTAGTCAGTGGGTTACAATCCATTATTATCACTATTTATTTCAACATTGGGTACATCTTGTCAGATTTTTATATTTATGATAGAATTACTATAAGTATCAGTTGTGTTTTCAGAAAGTGAGTTTTGTGTAATATTTAATTTCAAAAAGGGTTCTGCTGCTAAATGGATCAAAAAGCACCACCCTTTTACTTTTGAGATTTATTATTATCTTCCTTTTCAGAAATCATAATAGATGGAATGGGACAAGAATTGGGAGCTTTCCGAAGTAGTTCAGTGATTCAAATCTTTCTGAATACACAGCACATATAGAAATGATATTTGTCAGGAGGCAACAGGCTCCAGGTTTCTGGCTGTCCCAGGCTTGTCCCAGCTATTCCAGGGACTGAGGGGAATCAATATCTTGACACACTTTTAATCCAGTGTAGGCACAACTGTTATAGAGCTCTGATTTACGGGAAAGCAATAATTTATAGTCAGAATTCCTGGGTTAAAATCTCAGCTGTATCTCTCAGTGGCTCTGGACAAGAAAAGAGGTACAGTATTCTAAGAATTTCTTTGAATGGATAATCATTCTCTGTCAGTAACTACTTGCAGGTTTGAGGCAAGTCATGGCACCTCTTTGGTGGCTTTAGTTTACTTCTCCCAGAAATAACACCAAAAATATTTAACAACTGGGTACATCAGGACACTGAACAATCAGAAGAGATACTGGCCATAAAGTAGGAGCAGGGTCCTGAAGGTCCCTTTTAGTTGTTGGGTTGAGGTGAAGTCTAGGAAGCCCCAGGGAAGGGGGTGAAGCTGGAGGTCACTTAGGAGGCTAGCTGCAACAGTTATTTAATAAACAGTAGAATATGTATTTGAATGTTTTCATAGCAGATATTGCCATGCTGATGTGTGCTGGCTGAAAAATCAGCCCTGTATATCTTACAGCACAGTGTCAGGCACAAACTAAGTAATCAGTATTGATAAATGAATGAATAAGAGATTTACCAGGTGGTACTTAAAAGTCCATCCTAGCTTGAATGATCCATAATTTTCATTCTATTAGTATTTAACTTTCATGAGCCTCATTTCCCTTATCTACAAAACAAGGAAAATACCAACGGTCTCACTATATTATATCGTTTAAAGGAGCACATGAAGGAATTTGTGCAAATGTTCTCTGAGAAAACAATTTGCTCCATTGGTGAGATGAATGAGAAAGGTCAGGATGTTAAACAACAGTCATAGGTATGTATTTAAGAAATGATGTAAGTTACCGTATTTGCCGGCGTATAAGACGACTCGGCGTATAAGATGACTCGGCGTATAAGACGACCCCCTAACATTTCCACTCAAAATACAGAGTTTGTTATATGGTCGGCTGTGTGCGATTTTGCGAGTGTGGTAAAATCGCATAACAGCAAAATCACATAACAGCTGAGCATACACCCAGCAGCGCTGCTGATGCCTGAACGGTATGTGGAATGAAGTGGGCGGGCAT